GGTCATGTAAAGTCTGTGTAAAATTATTTTGCATTTTGTTAATGTATATAGTGCTTAAAAATATTTTTTGAGTGCTTGAAAAGTACTTAAAAGTTGCTTATTTTTTGTTGAGAAATTTGGCTACGCACCCTGTTAAAAAATTTGACTCTTAGCTTCGTTGCTGGAAAAATCACCGTTATTTTCTATCCAAACCAATGGATCCGGAAATTTAAAAACGTGAATGGAAATGGATTGGTTATGTTCTACAAAAACGTAAAAAAATAAACGTAAAACGAGTTTTTGATTGGAATCCTCAGTGCAATAGAAAAAAAGGAAGACTTAAAAATACTTCGCTCAGGACGATTGTAAACGAATTGAAAACAATAGGAAAGACATAGATAGGAACAAAATATCTGGTCACAAATAGAGTGAGATGGAAAGCTATGATAGAAGCCTTATGCTCCCACCTCGAAGTGAAAAGGAATATGTATTTTCTATCCAGTCGGTTAAATTTCAGTCTTAATTTATGCTTCCAACTCGGAGTGAAAAGGAATATGTATTTTCTATCCAGTCGGTTCAGTCTTCTTACTATCAGTCCATTTATATATTTATGCCATTAGGCTAATTAAAAACTATACGAAAATTTATGCTTCCAACTCGGAGTGAAAAAGAATATGTATTTTCTATCCAGTCGGTTCAGTCTTCTTACTATCAGTCCATTTATATATTTATGCCATTAGGCTAATTAAAAACTATACGAAAATTTATGCTTCCAACTCGGAGTGAAAAAGAATATGTATTTTCTATCCAGTCGGTTCAGTCTTCTTACTATCAGTCCATTTATATATTTATGCCATTAGGCTAATTAAAAACTATACGAAAATTTATGCTTCCAACTCGGAGTGAAAAAGAATATGTATTTTCTATCCAGTCGGTTCAGTCTTCTTACTATCAGTCCATTTATATATTTATGCCATTAGGCTAATTAAAAACTATACGAAAATTTATGCTTCCAACTCGGAGTGAAAAAGAATATGTATTTTCTATCCAGTCGGTTCAGTCTTCTTACTATCAGTCCATTTATATATTTATGCCATTAGGCTAATTAAAAACTATACGAAAATTTATGCTTCCAACTCGGAGTGAAAAAGAATATGTATTTTCTATCCAGTCGGTTCAGTCTTCTTACTATCAGTCCATTTATATATTTATGCCATTAGGCTAATTAAAAACTATACGAAAATTTATGCTTCCAACTCGGAGTGAAAAAGAATATGTATTTTCTATCCAGTCGGTTCAGTCTTCTTACTATCAGTCCATTTATATATTTATGCCATTAGGCTAATTAAAAACTATACGAAAATTTATGCTTCCAACTCGCAATAGAGTGAGATGGAAAGCTATGATAGAAGCCTTATGCTTCCAACTCGGAGTGAAAAGGAATATATTTTCTATCCAGTCGGTTAAATTTCAGTCTTCTTACTATCAGTCCATTTATATATTTATGCCATTAGGCTAATTAAAAACTATACGAAAATGTATGCTTCCAACTAGGAGTGAAAATGAATATGTATTTTCTATCCAGTCGGTTAAATTTCAGTCTTCTTACTATCAGTCCATTTATATATTTATGCCATTAGGCTAATTAAAAACTATACGAAAATTTATGCTTCCAACTCGCAATAGAGTGAGATGGAAAGCTATGATAGAAGCCTTATGCTTCCAACTCGGAGTGAAAAGGAATATGTATTTTCTATCCAGTCGGTTAAATTTCAGTCTTTTTTACTATCAGTCCATTTATATATTTATGCCGTTAGGCTAATTAAAAACTAAACGAAAATTTATGCTCCCAACTTGGAGTGAAAAGGAATATGTATTTTCCATCCAGTCGATTAAATTTCAGTCTTCTTACTATCAGTCCATTTATATATTTATGCCATTAGGCTAATTAAAAACTATACGAAAATTTATGCTTCCAACTCGGAGTGAAAATGAATATGATTTTCTATCCAGTCGGTTAAATTTCAGCCTTTTTATATTTATGCCATTAGGCTAATTAAAAACTATACGAAAATTTACTTCAAACAGCCTGAATTCGCTTCGTTTTTATGCCTGTGCTTCGAATAGAAAAGTTTGGTGAATTAGACTAATAGAGCTACGAATAATATCTTTTTAATTCCCTTAAAGGTATCTGTCTGTGATCTTTACAAACCATTTAAAATATCAGGTTAATTGAGCATTGATTGACATATTTTCTTATTAGACTAAAATTATTGGGATTTACTGCAAACAGTATGAAAAGTGTTTGGCTGATCAGGATACAATGGAGACTTAAAATAAGCTTACAATGGAGACTTAAAATAAGCTATGCAAATGACTGAGTCGGTTTGTTAAGAAGCTTTATTTTTCAATTAACCTGAGACATATATATTTGTATTAAGATAATTAAACAAGATGCTAGTCACATTTAAAAAAAAAATTACAGAGCTTCGTATGCGTCAAGTACAAAGAATAGAAAATAAAAACGAGACGGTGGTGTAGCTAGTATTCAGCTTCACTCCTAGATTATGGAAGAGATTAAGATGTAAAGATAAGACTTAAGTAAAATTATTTATTCTAACCTAAAATTAGCTTCTTTTTTTTGCAATCAGAATAAAGCTTGTCAGGCTGATTTTCTTTTATTTCATAACTGCCGTTGAACAGTTGACCCCTATTTTGAGTTTACGACTACCTATGTTCAACTCTGTAGCCTTTTAATTTAGATCCCAATGCAGAAGACAAGGGAACTCTTGGTATTGGGAGAAATTTGTCTTTCTGGAGGACTTTTTTGATGTAACTTACCCGCAGTTGCATTACATGGAGAAGGAAACCACGAAAAACTTACACGGTCAGCCTGACGGCTAAGAGACCGTCTACCACTGAGGTTATTTTATGTCAGCCCTGTGGTCGGTGCATACCAGGTGCGGAATTGGCATCGACCAGCCATTGCTGGGATTCAAACCCAGGTACCCCATCGGAAGCGAGCGCTCTATCCCCTGAGCCACCTGTTACGCTGATAAGTAAATTATGGAGACTTTACGAAAGAACCTGATGCATTTCAAAATGACAGCAACGGTTTGCGATGACTTAATTTACTAATTAGCCTACAAATGTGTGTTCATATGTTTATTAATTGAGATCACTAAACAAAACTAAAACAACGTCTTCATCATATTTTTCACGACAACCTAAGGTAGGCCAAGGCCTTCAAAGGAAAATTCCTCCAGGACAACCTAGTTTTTGATCTGGATTGTCAGTTTTTTATTCTTATATTGCAAAACTATGCCAGTCGAATTTAAAAACAAAAAATAATGCGTTTCTCAACTGTTATTATAAAGAATAGACTGAAACAAAAATGAGTTGGCAATTTAACGAATCCGTATGTGCATTATTAAGATTCTCTCCTTGTAAAGATAAGACAAGGTAATCAATTTAAGTTTCTTCAGAAAACTATTTTCCATAAATTACCGAGGATAATGAACTTTAAATAAGAAGACGCCTTTTTTCTTTTCTTCATATACTGCCTCAATAAATATTAACCTGCCACTGCAACCCTAGTTGCCCCATAAATTAAATGGATTTAAAACCACTCCGTTTTCCAATTAGATGGAAACCTTTTGAAATAGTTATATTTTTTCTTTAAAAAAAATTGAATTGATTAATAGTTATCTTCAATTGTTAATATTTATTATACTGCAGTGATTTGTTGGTCACATATAAGAGAGAGCGCTTTATTAGGTACTCAATTACGGAAAATGTAATGTCTTTTAGTTTTTAAACAAGCTATATGTTTTGTATACTATGGAATTCATGGTAGTCTATTAATCAGACTTACATAAGGATGTCGTGTAGTCTATTTGTGAGTTTAATAAAACATTTGCAGAGAAGTAATTTAAAATTACGTTTTAAATTTATTTATCTACTTTAGGTTTGTTTCTTCTTGAGATTGGTTGTTCTATTATTTTGTTTTGTTTCATGTTTCATTCAAAAATAATTATTAAATACTCAACCAATAAGATTTAATTGAATCTACATTTTGAAGAACGTATGAGACCTCGGAATTCATTGTTTTTAAATATAGTGATTTTGATTTGAGGAAAATTATTTTGTTATCCAATTAAATATGAAAATTATTATTAAATTCTGATCTTCCTTTTTAATAATTAGGCAAACCCTCCCCCTAGGAGTTGATCTTTATCAGGCAATTACGAATTTCATGATCCCGCACTCTAATAATCTTCCACGTTTTTTATTTCGTGGAAAACAATTCTAATTTTGCTTCAGACTTGGTTTATATCGCAATTTGATTCCATTGCACTGAGTAGTAATTTTATGTCTGGCGCTGTTTAGCCGCTTTCGATTAGTTCCATTAAATTCAATATAAAACTAATCAATCTTTACAGTTATGCTCATTAAATTTGTTTATTTAGTGTCTGTTTTTCTGTTTCTTATGTATGCTGCATAGAAATATTTGGAAAGAAAATTTAATCTGAATTTTTTTAATGGAAATTTTGCAGTTTCTTTTTTGAATAGTTTATTAATATCAGTGTTTTTTAAAATTAAAAATAAAAGAAATGTGAGTAACAAAATAGGCTGAGTTAAAACGTTTTAGAGCGTTAATTAAAGGGAACATTTGATTGCTATTTTTTAAAATTGAGTGCGTTTTGAATCACTGCTAAATGATTTCTTTTTTTTCGCAAATTTGTTTATGTGTTTTATGTAATTTAAATATTTTCTTAAAACATATTGGGGCTTATATTTAAAATCATGCACGTTCAAAATTTGAATGAAGTTGGACCACACTTGATAAAGTGTTAAAAAAAGGTTTGCATTGAACATTTTCTTTCTCAAGTTTGAAGATATAGTAAAAAAGAATTATAAGATTACAAGGAAATTAATCTATAAATATGTATTAAAGCTTATTTCAATTTCACTGTTATGATAATGGCTTGTTTTATAATTCCGTCTTTCTTCTGTTATAGTTAGCTGGAATCGGTGTGCTTGCAGTTTCAATATGGCTGTACATCGACAGTTCTGTTTATCTTGGAAATACAGAAGACAGCTATATGTATTTCGTAGCTATATTTATATTAATGGCAGCGGGGGCAATCATGTTTCTTATTGGATTACTCGGTTGTTGTGGAGCATTACAGGAGAGTCCGTGTATGCTTGGAACGGTAAGATAACATTTCTGTTACTGAAACTGAATTATACTGTTACTCAATTATACTGTCACTGTTACTCAATAAGAATGAAGTGGTGTGTGATCATTGCCTGATCTAGAAATACGGGTGTCCTAGGCAAGGAGCACCCTGTTCGTTAGCTAAAACTAAATTTACATATTCTTTAACTATGAAATGTTTTTAAATTATTTATAAACAAAGTAAATTACGATATATTAATAAATTTGTGCTTATTTTTATTCAACTTTTTGTTAAATCATAACTCTAATAGACACATCTTAAAAGAAAAACTCAAAAAGCAATTATTTGTAACATTTAGGGGGCCCCCAGAAATGTGGAGGTGCTTGCCATGAGCTTCTGTGTGTGATGTCTGGTTTCAAACCCAGCTCTGAAATTAAGCGAGATTCTAACATGACTTTTTTAGTTGTAAATTAAGAAATAATAACGAAGAGACATAACTTCAAGAGAAGTTGTTTTATCCAAAGACTATAAAATTATATTAATAGGGACCGATCAAGACAAATTCAGGCCCAAGGCCCACCAAATTTTCCGGACCCCTTACTAAATGTTTTGAAATTAAGAGTAGTCCTTGCAGTGAAAATAATTTATTGATCTGCATGATTCAAGATAAACATTCTGAGAAATTTTGAAAGCAGACAATCGAAGATTATTATCTAATAGATAAAAATCAAAGATAAAGTTTATATATCTATAAATTTTAGCAAAATATAAAACAATAATATGTCAAAATAAAAATTGATATTTTATTACAAACAATTGAAATCGGTGATTTTTGCTAAAAGTCACTGATTAGCTGAATTATTTTTTATTTAATACTTAACCAAACCAAATCTAGCCCACCTTTCATTAGAATTTATAGTAATTTTTGAGGCCCCTCAGAAATTGTGGGCCCTAAGGCCCATGCCTATTGGGCCTAGGCGATAATCAGGTCCTGGATATTAAGTAGAATAAAATTTTGTGAGGATAAAAAGACAAAAATCAACAGAAATCGCAAACATTTTATATTAAAATATCAAGAAAGCATACGAAATATCGATGCTACGCTACAACATCATTGAACTAACAATGAGCATCGTCACCTGATTATAAAACTTCATTCGCTTAAAAAATATACAAATAGGAAATAACAATCGACATGTTTCAAGCGTTTCAAAAATAGGCGAGCATTTTCAAGATTTGCCAGACGTATATGAGAAGAAATAGTGGTTTGAGATTTAACAAAAATATAAGGCGGCCTACGAAGATAAAGATGAAAAACAAAAACCAAAGTAGCTGAGAGGGGCAAATCAGGGCAAAAGGCATTTCCACTCGCTCTGAAGAAGTGATGAGGAATTAATGTCGTTAAAAAGGGACTCGGCATCCATATGAATAAAACAAGAAGGGCTTGAAACTAGTCGACTGTTATTTTCTATTTGTATATTTTTGAAACGAATGAAATTTTTTTGTCAGGTAATATCCTACCACTTCAGTTGAAAATGCGTTAATGATTCATGTTCAACACCCCAAAAAACAAAAATGTACAAAAAATGAAAATTGTCGCCTTCAATTTTTCCAGGTAGTGTCCATTTTAGAGCTCTATTGCCAGAGCTGATTTGCAATTGAGCTGTATTTCTTTGTAGTTCGGGAATGTTCATATTATATGATGCCACATTTTTATCAATATTTTTTTACCCTATCTTTCTATTGTGTCACTGTAGATTATGATTCTTAAGCGAATTTAAAACTTTTTTTCACACAGTTATGCAATAACTTTATTTGAATATAATCATTGTAAAAACAAAATTTTAATAACCATTTATTATTTTTTGTTGTTTTATATAATATTACTTATTTTTTATTTTAAGAAATGTAATTTTATATGGCAAAGTATAAAATTTAAACAAAATAGGTCGAATAGTTCCTGAGGAATCGAACTTTTAAAAAGTCAGATATTCAAAATTGTATTTCTCAGTGACTATTCGTGCGCAGCTGGCCCGGGAAACATTAAATGAAACGAAGAAGAAAAAAATGCTTTGAAAAAAAGTTTATTTTGTAACCAAATGCTTTAATTAAGTTCCTGTTCTTTCAATTTATTTTTTCAGTTCTGAAATAAAGTTTCATTTTTCTTAAAATATATATTATCAATAAGTGCTTACGTCTTATCCATACATCTTTTTCTTTCTTTTTTTATACAATGGTATATTTCATTAAGTAAGTATATGTCAAAGTTTCATTATTGATTTTAAGCAAAACTTAAGCTTTTAAAATAAATAAATAAAAAGACCAAAAATTTAAAAAAAAAGAGAAGAAAACGTAGCCTACGTAAAGAGAATGGCATAGTTAGGTGATCTTAAGGACATTTTGTTCCTATCATTCTTGTCTGATTCAAAAAGAAAAAAAAGTCATGAGTAAAAAAAAAAAAAAAAGTAAAAACAGATTAAGAAAAAAAACTCTCCTGAGTCAATTGCTGGCACATTGCTGGCACTTATCCGTAATTTTTTGTTTTTCACTGACGAAAGTCCTCGAAATCTTACTTTTCTTTTATGTAACATCATTGTTATTGACTTCCTGTAGCCTAAACAATTAAAAAAAAATCGTTTTAAGTAATTTTTTTCTACTCTACTTCAAGGCAAAAATTGAAAAATGTTTTAAAATCTGTTATTCTTAAATAATTTTAAGAGTGATTCTAAGAATTATTAAGTGGTAAAAAAAAAACTAAAATTATCCGAATATATAGCAAAAATAATGTGATATGTGTTTTAAATGTAATTGAATTATGATTTTTTTAAATTTATTAAACAGTTATAATTTTTATTTGTTCGAATTAATTTTTTTTACAACATATACATTACTATTTCATTTTATTAGGAAATAGCTTCATGCAGCCGTTCGATCGATGCAATTAATTACTTCATGCATAACTTTATCGTTTTATTCGATATAGTATGACAATCTTGGCCAAAGGATACTGTGAGCTCTTGTTCGTGCTCTTCGTTCGCCAAGATGGCAATATACGAAATACTAATTATATGGCCTTTATGAAAACGTAATTTTAGGATCGTTGTCAAAAATGAAGTAAAAAAAAAACATATATATTCCGAATCGCAAATTAATATTTAACTTAAGAAGACACACTATCGAATTCTAAATAATCACTACTGAGGAAAGGGAGACTAACAACACTGAAAAATGCTTGATTGCTGAAAGAAACAGAGAGGTTTTAAAAGGCGATTATTGGAAACACCTTCAATTTTCCTCTCGAAATCAAAGTGGTTTTTATGTTTTCAGTTCAGCCTTCTTCAATAGTGTTTTGTTAGATTTCGATAGCCCCTTTATTTCTTCCTTGTTTTAATATTAATTTGTGACTCCTAATTTTTATATTCTTTTGACTTCATTTTTGTCAAGAATTATTAAAATAAATATTAAAGGCGTTCTTTACAGAATACCATGCATAAAACTTCTTTAAACGTTTTAGTAGTATCACTTGTTATTTTTATATTTAAAGTTGCGAATTGTTTAAACAGAAAAGTTATATTTATTTATTTGTATGACACGTACTCTAGCTATGCTGCATGGTATAAATAAATTGTCATTTCATTTTCGAAATTTCAAAAAACTTCATCTTTTGCAGTATTCTATTAACAATGCAACTTTATCAAATTATCTGTATCATTAACAGCTGATAATCTTTTGCGGTATTCTATTAACATTGCAACTTCATCAAATTATCTGTATCATTAACAGCTGATAATCTGCAAAACAGTTTTTTATTCCTTTCAAACAAGTTACTTGTTGTTCTATCTACTATCACCTGTACCAGACGACATTTAAAAATATGCAATTTAAAGAATTGTATCGAAAGAAATTCTTTTAATTTATCGTTATAATAGTATATGTGTGTGACCCATTTTGAAAGCTTAGCACGTCACATATTCAGATAATACAGAGGAGGAAGCGCGCTTCCTAAAATGAAATTATTAAAATATTTCTAACATCTCAGTGACACACTTTTGGTCTATTGAAACAGTTTCGGTTTTCTTGTTGAAACATTTAATGTTTTTACTAGCTTTGATTTTAGGTTAAATTTGTAATTTTCGTTTATAAATTTTTTTTTTACCTTTAAGAAACTTTTGTTTATAAACCAGTGGTCCCCAAATAGTGTTCCGTGGAACCCAAGGGTTTCGTAGAAAGGTAACAAGAATTCCAAAAGTTTTTTTTTGCCATCTATGATTAAAATAAACATTTAATTATCAGTTACGAAACCCTTTAAAGAAATTTATATTCGATTAATTTTCCGTCAATTATTTGATATTGATCAGATAACTAGTCGTTCGTTGATTAATATATTCACAATTGCTTGTAAAATTTTTTATAACGTTTTGGGGTTCCGCTGAAAGTTCGAACATTTTGGATTCCGCTGCCGAAAAAATTGGGAACCGCAGTAGTTTCTCAAAAATATAAAGCAATAAAATTATACGATTAGTAGTTTTGAGTAAGTAATTTAATATTGTGCTGTTTTTCAATTTTTTAGAAATTACTTTTATTTAAACTAATGAAAACCGGTTTTCATGCTTAAAAATTTTTTTTAGCGTTAATCACGCAGAAAAAAATTTATCAAAAATCTAAAAACAGTATATGAAATATATTGACAGTCAAATGTATTGTACTTTATAATAAAATAAAAAAGGTTCCTGAATTGTATTGGTATTATTTTGTCGATAAATAAATGATTAAATAAAAAATAAATAAATGGAGAATCTAAAATACTGCACGCTTTTTTTTTCCTTTCAAATTCTGATTAGTCAAGGTCTCATTGCTTTTTGCCTGTTTCAAAAGATACTGCAGAACAAGTTAATTGTCCATTATCATTTTGCAAAAATTGATTAATGAAAATTATGAATCCCCCCCCCCGTCTCCACCTCTGATTGTCGATTTCGGTCATTTATAAAAAAGGCCTTACCATAAAAACTATTTGACTACCAATGCTGTCAAACAAAACTTATAATTTTTTTTAAAAAAAAATATCATTTTATTCAATTATTTATTTTAAAAATATCTATGCCAAATATAGCGAAACAATTTCATTTCTAACAAGCGTCAAAAAGATCATGAAAAATTTATGTTAATTAAGGGGAAAAAAAGAGGGGGGAAGAAAATTTTCATGACAACTCAGTATGTTAAACAATTAAAAAAGTTGTATCTAACTCACGGGAAGTTGTAATTATATTTGATTTGATTTCCATATACGATAATATCATTTGTAAACATGTATGATGATGAATGTTACATAATTATTTGAAAAAGCATTAATCTAACAACGAGCATATGAATTAAAAATGTAATTATATGAATGTGAGTTTTTAGTTAACTGCTTTTAATTGGCAGTTTCGCGTATTTTTTGAAAGACAACAAAACTGATAAGAAAGACTTTTAACTGAATTTATTAATAAAGGATTTGTTTAAATGCAGAAATTAAAAAAGGAATTCTGCGAAATCCTTTTGTTCTAAAATGGCCATTTTTAATAGCTTTTTCTAATGGATTCCTTTATTTACGAAAAAGTAAATGCAACGATTTTCCTTATTTTTCTACATTATATTTTTTTTATTGCAATTTCAATATTTTGAGTTACGCTCTATTTTATTTTTTAATTGCATAATCAAAGCTACACATGAATATACTCGTTTTGAATAAAAGCATATTTTTATGTATTGTTTTTTTATAATTAAGAAATTAATAGAAATAAATTTAATTATAAGGTAGTATGGAAATTTTTATGTATTTATAGACGTCGATTTTAGAGTTTGAAAACAAATAGAAATAAAAATATGGTTAATAAGTGTAATAACATTTTAAGAGAAAATGTTTATGGTCTTTAATAAATCGATATTTTTTTTTTCTTTCTGGAACCAGTTTTAATAAAATTAAATGTAAGAAGCCATAAGATATTTTTAACTATTTTATTTTCGTTACTTTTATTTTTAGGCTAGTATAAAATTGTACGACTGGAAAGATTCGATATGTAATGAGTAGGCTGTGTCGAAATGTTAAACATAGTGCAGTACCAAACATTACCACAACATTTATTGAACGCGATTTAACTTAATTAACGATAATGTAATTGAAAGGAATGTTTTTTTTTTAATTTTTTTCATAATAACTAACCTACATTTTGATAAAAACTCTAAATAAGTAAATATAAATATTTTTTATTTTATTCCGATTTTTGTTTTCGCTTTTTTAACCTTTTATGTTTCATTTCAAATGGTGGCTCCATCTGTTGATGTTATATTTAAAAAAAAAAAGACCTAATATTTCCATTATAGTTACAACAGTGGTGGCTCCATCTGTTATTGATAATATTAGTAAAATATGTGTTCTTTAAAAAATGTGAACATCCGTTTATGGTATTTGCTTTAATTATAGAAATTTTAATTTTAGTTCTTCATCTTTCTTTTGGTGATATTTGCTGCTGAAATAACTGGTGGCGTGTGGGCTTGGATGTACAAAGATGAGGTTTGTTATTCTTTTTCTTTTCTGTGATAACGTTAACATCTTTTTAGCTCTCCTACTAACTGCACATTTAGAGATAAGTATCAGTTATTCCCGTGTTGGAGGCTTAAAAATTTAACGATTATAAAAAAAAATTAAAAAAAAAAACGTGCAATAAGCAATTTAAATTTTGGTTTGATGATTTTTACTCATAAATCTCTTAAGATTCACCAAAAATAAGCTTTAAAATTTGACTTAGTTAAACTTGTGAAAAATTAATATCCTTTTGAAATATAAAGCCTTTATTGTTTTTCTACATTATTTTTTCAAATACTTCTCTGATGTTATTTTTTTTTTCTTTTCAGGTGAATAAAATAATTGAACATCAAGTAACTAAAATGGTTAAAGATGAATATGGTGCATCTAAATCTGTGGAAAACACCATTGATGCTGTCCAGCATGATGTAAATTTACTTTTCAGTTTCATTCTATTTTATTTATTATAAAGAAAAACCTTTTCAAATTTTTTACATAGTAAAATAAATAAAACTAGTATTAAAGATTTTTTTTTTTTTTAATGTTTGTTACTCTGAATAATATAGCTGATAAATTCCTTCAAATCAATATCTTACTTTTTAAACTGTAATTTTATTTCAAAATTACTTATTTAGCTTCATTGTTGTGGTGCTATACAACCGAGAGATTGGGCACAGTCTCGTCTGAATAGTAAGGACAATAGTGCTGTGGAAGTTGGTATATCGAAAACTATAGGGTATTATAGTGTACCACCAACGTGCTGCAAAAGTAAAAATCCAGATGAATGCGAGTTTCATCGAAAGATTAAATTTTCTGGTCAGTCGTTTGATGGTATTTATACTGAAGTAAGTTTTTTATGACTTATTTTTTCTTTCTCATTCTTATGAATAAGTTGTATGTTTTAAAATTTATTGACACTATTTTTAAAATGTTTTTACAAAAAAATAATTATTCTGAGAATTGTGAAAGTGTGAATTGATATATTTAACAAAACATGCTTTTAAAAATTTAAATTTAAAAAAAAAACAACAACATTAGTATGATAAATAAATAAGAGCAAGGCTGGGATAGCCTGGTTGGTAGGTGTGCTTTGCCCTGTCCAAGAGGTTGTGAGCTGGATCCCTGGTGGCCGAAGACTCCCCATGTAGTAAATGGTGATTGGTGCACCCTAAATCTCCATGTTCCCATAACAAATCAATACCTCGGAGAGTACTGAATTGGATATTGATAGTTTCTGGTTCGAGTCGAAATTATAATTTGTGGATGTATGAATGGAGGCACCTTATGAATGTGCGTGCGGCTGAAGTCATATTTTTAGCCATAGATGGCGCCATCCAAAAATAAATAAACTCCCCATCTGCCTTAAATACTCTTAGTTTCACCAAGCAGGCTTCCTGTTATTGACAAGTGGCATTAAAAACAACGTAAATAAAAACTACTGTTATGTTAGCAAAAAGTTATAAAAAACATCAACAACAATTGTGTACCATGAAAATGACCACCATTGTTGTATATCAATTTTTTAAATTTATTAAATGCAAGTAACCAAGTATATAAGTAACAATGTAAGTAACTGAATTAAAACCTTTTATCTGAAGACATCTTTGCAACATTTCAAATTTGCAAAGATTATGCACTAATATTATATACATTTAACTTTTTGTAGTCTTATATCCCCGTTGATTGGAAGAGTCCCTCTGAAATTTTAAAGTTTTATACCTTAATATTTAGCAGCATTATTTATGATTGCTAGTTATCATATAAAAATAATATATTATGTATTTTAAATCTTTTAATGTTTAAATTAATTTAAATAATTCCCTGGAAATTTTTTCCCAAATTATTATTTTTTAAAAAAAAACATTATTTAATGTGTTTTATAATTATTTTTTACTAGTTCAGTTTCCACAGATTAACATTACTTATTAATTTATTGTAAATGAACAAAATAAAACCATGGTGCATTGGCATAGCTAAGGAGGCCTTCAGAAAATCTTCTCACAAAATTTTTAATATTAATATTTTATAACTTAGGCTTGGCAAAGCATTGAGAAAGCTAATGAGTCCTTAGTTTTCTTTATGATTTATATTTATATGTACTAAGTATAGTATGTACTATAAATATAAATTAGGTACAGTATGTACTAATATAATGGTTAGTGTATTTATTGTTAACAAATGCTATGTTAAAATTGATCATGGTAATTTTCTTATTAGGGCTGTGTTCCTCGTTTGCAAAGATATTTTGAAGAAAATATGATAATAATGATAGGAATTGGTATTGGCGTCGGTGTTATTCAAGTAAGTATCATTTTAGTCTTACCGTACATCCTGGTTTTTACGTTCACTTGTATGAGTCAACCCCAAATTTCTGATATGATGGGTGTATAAGTCGACTGTTGAAAAAACAAATAAACATAAAAATTTTTCAAGTTAAAAATATTTTAAATTATTCTTTTTGGATATGATGCATTCGTCCTCAAATAAAGATGCTATAAAGTGCCCATTTAAGGAAAGATGCATTAACAAAGACTGTGATGTGACCAGTTAATCAAAGTATCTTACCATATTTGACGTCACTTGAAGGTTGATTTCATTGCTTCCTGATCGCAATTTAAATAATTTTTCAAAAAAAAAAATTTATGTAAGATAATTTTATTAGAGAAAATGCAACATTTCTTGTATATAACATATTAAAAATAGTTTTTGAAAGGGGTAAATTGATACAGTGTTATTCTTATCTACTCATTTTTTATAAAGTACTATATTATTGGAATATAAGTCGACCTGTCTGATATTCATAAAATTATGGGGTTTTGAAAAGTTAACTCATACATATATGGTAATCCTTGTAAATGGGTTATATGGTTATCCTGGTAAAAGAAAGCATTTAAATTTATTCTATACAATTGACAATATAAAGATGCTATCATAATAAAAATGATTATTGTAACGCCAAGTTGTTATATTATGAGTCTCCAAAAATACCACAAATATTCACTCAAACCTAAAAGAGTACTAGACTAATTTTAAAAAAAGAATGCTGTACTTAAGTGAAAGCTGACAAGTGAAGAACACATTCAAAATACATAATACACTATTTCCAGATAGGTATTTTCAATTAATAGCATGAGCATTTAGATAACGCTAAGTTAAAAAAATAAAATAAAAATACAGTAGATGAGTTGTGAATACATGAATATTGCATGTTTTATTTCATCCCAAGAGATGATTTACATTGCAAAAAAAAGTATTAAATTATCAAACGAGAACTCTGTGATTAATGACTTTATTGTATCTTTCAAAAATAAATTAAGAAAAACTTATTTTAAATGCATCCTTTAACTTATTGAATGCATGTGGGACTTAATGTTACTTTCATATGTTATTGCACTATACACTTTTGATAATCAATATAAAGTAGTACATATTTCACAAATTTTTTGACCAAGATGTTTTATAAGTAAGAAGTTTTTTAGAAGTTTTACGTTTATATATGGTAATGCCACATGAAAAAAAAATCACAGATTAAATAACTTTTTCGGAACTTTGTGGGCTACAAAATTCTGAATTATTTAAAATATTATGTTACATTTTTTGTGATGGAAATTTTTTTTTATAACATCTATAGTAAATATTATGTTTGTAGAAACTTCATAGGTCAGGAACCTATTTTTAGTAAAATTTAAGAAAATTATACAAAAATATGTCACTTCTATAGTCGGGAAAATGCACAGTGGAAAAATAGTAGGGAATTATTACTTCTCTATAGCATCATCTTCACACAATATAGTAACGAAAAATGATGAGGAAAAGCATAAAAAATGAGCAGTAGGAAATAAATAAATGTAAAAGAGAATGAGTCTGTAAGAAATTGATAGCTAAAGAGTTATACAAATAATAGCACTGACTTTTATTGCAATTTTTTAATCCTTATCTTATTAATTATCTAAAAAGTTGAAATATTTAATTTACTTTGTTTAATTTAAGTTTCTATCTTTACCTTTTTATTTCGACAAGTTAATTTAACACTTTACTGCTCTAACTCTCAGTAAAATTAAAGATTGAGTGTATTTATTAGGTTTTTTTTTAAAAAAAAAGTAATGTAATTTTTTATGTTTATTAAGTGATTTTTGTTCAGCAGTTTGTAGTTATATACTATGGCAGGACAATTCAGTGCACACAATTCATCTCTGTCTAAAATAGTCATAATTACAAGAGGCCATTCACATTACATCAGATTGCCCTAGATGTGCATGCGAATGTTTAAAAACTTCATGCAATGTGTGATTGTCTATGGGAAACTCATTTATGTATGATCACATCTGTGAATTATTGTAGTCAACTAAAATAATACTTAATAATATGTCGAATTGATAATATAATATTTTATCCAGGTTCTGGGTCTGATATTCTCTATGGCTTTGTGCTGTGCCATTCGAAGCGATGATGAGTGATCTCTTATTTCATTTTTTTAAATCCAAGTTGAAGAATTATGTACAGTTTATTGTTTATTCCACAATAGTGAACAAGGTAAAACATTATTTCACGTTGTATAAAATGGACCAATCACATACAATTGCACCTTGTTTTTATGGATCAAAAAGAAAAAGATTCTTGTTCTTCATTACCAAAAAGTCAATTTTGTACTGTTATTCAACATTTAATGTTATGAAAAGCAGTATCCAAAAATCATCCCTCTAATTCTACATTTTCTTCTGAAATTTCCTATTTTTTAGAAGAAGAAAAAGTTTTTAGACTTTTCCTATAACTGCTCATAGTTTTAAGATCTTTTAGTGATAACTATTTTCTCATCGATTTTAAAGTTATAGAAGGAAGAGTGTGTATGAAGTGCTATATTAGTAATCTTATTTTCATTTTAAATAACATTTATATAATGATTTGAATTATAATAAAATTTATGTTTGATAATTTTTTTTACAGTGATTTAAATCTTAATTGTAAATTTTCGATTTAACATTAATTGTTAAGTTGTATAAGATAAAATGTGAGATATTTTAATTTGTCTTAAAAATGATCAGTTAGTACGGTCGAAATGTATGTTTTCAGTTTTGAATTGTTTTGACTTTGATGAAACTATTATATTGTATTTGACTAAGAATATTTTTCTAGATAATTAAAATAACTATGCATATTTTAAACAGTCGTTAAACTCTACTACATGATATTAAAATTTTAAAAGTTATAGTTTTAATTTTTTTAACAGTAAAAATTATGTATTAAAATATGAGAATATTAAATATAACATTCATATTGAAATATACCATCTCTTTAAAGTTTAATAATTTCTAAATTGTTAAGAAGAATATATAGAGATAGTGTTGAAAATTGTACATATTGAAATTTTGTGTTCCACAAATTTTTTTTTTTTCCTCATTGAGTTGAGAATTTTATGTACTTAACAGTGAAATATATTTTTATGTTCCTTATTTTTGTTTCATATTATAAATAAATGGTGATGAAAGTTGAAAATTTTGCAGTTTTGCGTTGCACAAGAAATTTAGTTAATCTAGTTCACTATTTAATTTACAGTAAAAAATATTTTATGTGTTTCTTTTTTTGAGAATTTTATCCCTATTATATTCAAAATACAGCATAACCTCAAAAATCTGAAAATTTATTTTCAATTTGTTAGGCGAAAAAAACTAGCTGAATTAATTTTAAAATTGAGGTAATATGCCAACATTCGTGTGTCGTGTAAAAATTATGTGGCAATACATTGCAAGAATTCCTTAAAATGTGGATTTTCATGGAAATTGTGAATTGAGCTTGTCCAGAAAAGGGATTACTCAAATGTGCTTATCCTACTACTTACTCAAATGTGCTTGTCCTATATTATCCTACTACTTAAATCTCATCTGGATTTAAAAAGAAAAAAAAAGTGTCAAAATTACCATTGAATAAAATTCAACCGATCTCATAAATTTATGATGAAATCTCCTTGAGTAGAGGGGAAAGTAATTACTCAAATTCAAAGTTTACGATTCAAGTATCGTTATAAAATATCAAAATTTTAAAAACTGATAGTTTGTTAAGTAATTGCTAAAAAATGAACTTAAATCCATTTCAGTTTATGATGGTGTAAAACGAATTTTTTAAAATATAATTTTGGGTTTGTAACTTTAACATCTCTTTCGACTTAAGTAACATCTAAAATCCAAAACATTTTGACCTTCAAAACTCTGAAGCAGTTTGGATTTTTGAGGTTATACCGTACTACTATTAAAAACTGTTGTGCTGATTATTAAATTCTGATAAATATATATCAAATTGAAATTGTGTTATACCATTAAAATGTGTTCAAGGAAGCATCTTTTACAGTTATTTGTGGAAATCACCTACACTATGTTCAATCTATTCCATTTTTTATAGCTTCAAAACTTATGTGTGTATTCTATAAATTTTTCACTTGTTAAAATGACTTGCTGTTTTAGATGTTTTTGAAATTCCTTTATTGATGATATAGCATATTTTGATATGCAATATCCCATATGATGCATAATTTAAAACAAAAAAGTCAATTTAAAACATATGTTTTAATAATGTATAGTCTATTAGTATTTACATGGAATATTTTATAATACCATATTAAAATTTCTTTTGTTATGTGCTAATTTTAATTACATTTTTTTCTTATAATTACCCTGTTATTATTTTTTTTAAAAAAAAAGCATAACTATGAATTAACTTTGTAAACAACAGATGGGATGATCTGAAAGTGTAGGTTAATTACCAGCATGACTTATTTATTGGTTTTGCTAGACCTAAATGGCCTGTATAATACTGATGTATATATTGAATATTATAATATTAAAACAGTTAATTTTATTCTCAGAGCAAGAGAGATTGCAATATGCGATTTATTCTTAGAAATTTTATGAATCTGAAATTTGTGTCATGAAGTTAAACATTTTTCAATATAACAGGATATTTAAGTGTAAAATTATCTATTAATGTTTAGTTATTAAGGGTTAAAAGAATATTGATAGCCAAAATTTGAGTTAATATGCAATATTGGAAACTAGACATACTATTCATGTAGTAATGCTTAAAAATTAGAAAACAGTATATGTCTTAAAATATTGATTAATATTATGTATTTTTATATTTGTTATTGAAAACCTTTGACGGTAGGTTTTAGTGTAAAATGTTTCACTTTAACATCGAATAATGTGTAAAAAAATGTTGTAATGTTCTATGTTAATAATGTTAAAATATTGAATGTTTATAAAAACATTTTATTGTTAAAAAAAAATGTCAGAAAAAATTTTGAATGTAAAAAATAAATAAATTTGAAATTCATTTTTTATATTGCATTTGTAAGTAACAGCAATTTTTACTTTTTAAAATGATATTTTTATTATTGCAATCTCTTGAGCATGAATGCATTTTTTGTGCCTTTTGTAAATGCTTCGTTCATTGTGCCATCCTGTAATTAAAATAATGAAGCATATGTTTACTGTATATAGCCTATGACGTAAACGTATGTAAATAAAATGAACCATTTTCTTTTTGTTTTGTTTGTTTTCTTCTTTTCTTGTAACTCATCTTTATATTGCTCAAAATGTACTCTAGTTTTATTTCCTTGATATTTAGTACTTAATTTTTTTTGTTTTATTGCAAAAATCTTTATTTTATCAAGTTTTATTAAAAAGTTAGCGTCAAACTTATGTATTTTTATGTTTCTGTCGTATATACTTCTATGAATGCAAAAATTTTAATTAATAATTTAAACTGGATAGTAAATTGGGAAATGTCCATATTTTTTTTTATCATCAGGATAATGTTCCTTCCCATGATAAATCATCTCTTGCTGTTAATGTTGAAAATGATAATATAATCTTCATCATATATATCTGGATAATTACCAATAGCAATATTTTCATGAGTGTGTTAATTTAGTTACAAATAAGATTGTTTTTATTTGCATTTGACCAATGCAATTACAAAGGAAAGTTTCATGCCACTGAAATAAGCGGCAGCAATGGACTATTATAGGAAATAATCTTCAAACCCCTTGGAGTTTGTTTTTGACAGTTGCATATTAATATAAAATGTAAAGAAATTAATTTAACGTCATAAGAAAGAAAATATAGTTAAATATGCCTAGGATGTTTAGTTCATAAAAGTGTCCTTAACCCCTTTTTAATAGCAAAATTTTAAGAATTGTTTTTAGAAATAATAAATAATGATAATAGTATTTCAAACTTGGTTATTTAAGTGACTACATGTGAAATGTTATTAATAAGATAAAATATATTAAATTTCTTTTTAGTTTTATCGTACTTTTACCCAAAGATCGCTATTTTTCTTTCATTCCTAGCTATTTTTTAAAGATATTATTTATTGTAATATTTATTTAAATTACATATTTTACTGTTCATGCAGGGCCCATATATTCTTTATTCGGTGTATGTATTCCATGCATACTTTATTCTGTGAAAATGACCTCTGCTATTTTTTCACACTCATATCTACTGGCTATCATCATTCTGGTATCAAAAGAGCAGCTGAGTTGACTAATCTTTCAGGGGCATCATATTGGGGCCAACATTGCTCCTGCAGTAAGAAAGACAGATTGTACAGAGAGAAGAAAAGAGCATTTATGCTCTGACCGGTATTCGAACTCGGGACCTTTTTGACATAAGATCATTTTTCTGATTATCATTGTAGCATGAGCTCTACTATTCTAACAATTATTCTATGCCTGTACCTCTAAACAAATTTTTAAAAATGAATTAAGCTACAGAATTGGCATTATTTTGAGGATTCCTGAATTTTAGATTTATTTATTTTTTATACTTTATTAAGATTTTATTGAACACCTCACTACTTATTCATCCACCTTACTGACAAGAGTTAGATTGCATCATTACTCTATCCTTTTCCATCCATAATATGATGGTCAACATTGACTTATTTTATTATCATCTGACAATTTAAAAAAAAGTAAACAGCCCATATTTCAGCCCATATCTATAATAAAAATTCTTGTTAGTAAAATATTCAAATTTCACATTCGGGTACATAACAGTTTTCAAACACTTCATTGAAGAAAAGTAAGAAAAAATCTGTTGGATATTGAGGAAAAATGTTTATCTTGGGGGGAAAAAATGGGTTGTTTTAGGAGCAAATAACAATTATTAACTATATTTAAATGATGTCTGCTGAAATGAATGTATGAGAAACTTAAACAGTTAACTACTTTCCAAAAATCCTGGAGTAAAATAAGTATTTAGAAAAAAAAAAAAAAAAATTGAAAAAAAAAAAACTATGTAATTTCCAATAATTTTAGTCTACTCTATTCAATTTTTATTTAACACAGTGCAGTTTATAATTTTTGGCAAAATTTTTATTATTATTTTTGGCTTGGATAATTGAAATTTTTTTTTTATATAGTTACAATCATATCTCTCTTAAAAAGTTTTATGTAGTACTGTACATGCATGCAAATTTTTTCTGCAAATATATTTCCTTTTAGTTACATTTTTGACTAAGAGATGGCGGTACAGTTGAATAAAGAAACTTATAAAATTAATAATGGTTGACTGTAAACAATAACAAGCTTCCTGAAACCGGAAGAAAGTTTGAAAACTTCTGGTGTATTTCTCCGCTTGTGTTATAATTAAATTTACGCGAAATTTACCATTCTTAAGAATTTCCTGTAATTTACGAATTCTAACTGGTGAGCCTAAAACAAATTTAAGAAAATTTATATCAACACAAATAAAGTGTAAGGTTTGGAATGTTGTCCCTCATTTGGCCAGTGTGCTGAAGGGAGAACACTTGGATCAGTCTGCGTAGGGACCGAGAGTGTACGGTATAGGTCCTCGTTAAACTGTTCTACCGTAAAGTGCTCGACTTCGCGGGCAGGTCTTTGGGCTACCGAAGCGGGGGTGCCATCCCCTCTGCAGAGGATCAAAATTGTGATGGCTTGTCTTCGGATCATCCTTAGGGATGTTTCCCAGACCGTCGCCAATAGCCCATTGTGCAGCTCTAGAGTGACGTAAATTAACAACAACAACCCTCATTTGGCTATATTTGTGTAAAATACCAACGTTTGATATTTTTTGGGTTGCATCATAGCATACTTGCAAAGTGTTCCGAATTCATTTGTTGTTTGTATCGTTGAAATTTAAATAGAAAGATAGGTACTTTATTTACGTCGCACCAGAGCTGCACAATGGGCTGTTGATGACGGTTTGGGAAGCATCCCAGCGGATGATTCGAAGACATGTCATCGCAATTTCGATCCTCTGTAGGGGGGATGGCTCCTCTGCTTTGGTAGCCCGACGACCTGTGCGTGAAGTCAAGCACTTTACGGTAGAACAGTTCAACGAGGACCGACAACGCGCATCCTCGTTCCCTACGCAGGCTGATCAAAGTGGTCTCCCACCTGCTTACTGACCACAGCTAGTGGTGCTTGCTTTCGGTGTTCTACGGCGTGTCTTTACGATCAGTCCACTGCGGGACTTAAATAGAAAGAATGCGTTATATTGTAAACATTGTTAGTATAATAATATTGGATGGCACACTTTTTCAAGTTTAGGCGTAAAAATCAATCGGAAATAGTAACATGGAAAACTTAAGACGAATTTTAACCCCTCTCCCATAGCGCCATCTGTGCTCAGCTTTACACGATCAACCATCCAGAATTACAATTTATTTTAAACAATAAAAGTATTATTATAGCTATTCAATGTGTTTAACTACTATAGCTATTCAATGTGTTTAATGTAAAATACAATTTTATCACGCGTAAGTTAAAGCAGATGAATTAATTGCGCATTATCTTTGCTCTAACGTTGTAATTTGGATATTGCTTTTAAAAAACGCTTCTACGCTAGCGATTTTCGAAGATACAAGAAACTGAAAAACGAATTTCAATAAAATTTTATCTTTAATTTTTGGGTTAAGACACGTTGTCTTTGCCTGATAAATCTTCTTTAGTAAAATTGTTTTACAAAAATGAAGAGTCCCGCAGTGGACTGATCGTTAAGACACGGTTCCCAGCAGATCACCGAAGTCAAGCATCACTGGCTGCAGTCCGTGTGCGGGTGGGTGACCACTTGGATTAGACTGCGTAGGGACCGTGGGTGTGCGGTATTGGTCCTCGTTAAACTGTTCTACCGTAAAGTGCTCGACTTCGCGCGCAGGTCGTCGGGCTGCCAAAGTGGGGGTACCATCCCCTCTGTAGAGGATTAAAATTGTGATGGCATGTCTTCGGATCATCCTCAGGGATGTTTCCCAGACAGTCGCCAATAGCCCATTGTGCAGCTCAGGTCTAGTGCGACGTAAATTAACTACAACAACAAAAATGAAGAATCCACAAATTTAGTTCTAGGTGGCCGAGCGGTTAGCGTGCCTGACTGTGGTGCCAGTGGATGCGGGTTCGAATCCCGCTCTGGGCATGGATGTTTCTTTCTCTCTCTTTGCGTTCTATGTCCTTTATACTTTGTGTGTGAGTGTGACCCGCCCTATAAAAGGATTTGTGGTTGTGTGACGTGGGAGACGCTGCTCCACCGCCGTGACTTCGCCCCAGGTGCCCACTGGTTAACGAGAAGAGGGTAGCAGTTCTGGCACTTTCTGAGGCCAATGGAAAATAGTTCCAAGTGCCCGCCATTAAAAAGAAAAAAAATTCTAGGTACGGGTGTTAATAAAAGATAGAGCTAATGACCCTGCCAGGACTGAGGGCTCTGATTAAAAAAAATCGAGAAAACGAATTCATTTGGGGAAGATCGTAGAAAAAAAATGGGAGGCCCTAATATCTGTTGATGGTCGGGAAACAAGATGCAGACAGATGATCGATATCTTCAGCATAAGGGGAATGTAGGTATAGTGCGGCTTTGAGGAGAACTCCCCCAGACTGAAAATCTGGAGCAGTTTCCTTCTATGGTAACAAGCGAGAGCACATTTCTATTAGTTGTGAAATGGAGGAAAGATGGTGTCGATTGGTTTACTCACGACGACTAAGATTAAGACAAAACTATTCACCCCACACCCCTATTCGAAGTGACCTTTCCTCGTAGCCATAGAACCCGCCACGAAGCGAGACGGGTGTCTGGGGGAGTTCTCATGACTTTATTTTCTTCACTTCATTTACGTCACAACTACAGCTGCACAATGGGCTTTTGACGACGGTCTGGGAAACGTCTCTGTGGATGATCCGAAGACATGCCATCGCAATTTTGATTTTCTGCAGAAGGGACGACTCCCCTACTTTGGTAGACCTACGACTTGCGGGTGAAGTCGAGCACTTTACGGTAGAACAGTTCAACGAGAACCGATACCACGCACCCTCGGTTCCTATGCAGTGATTGACTAGGAACCGTGTCTTTACGATCAGTTCACTGCGGGACCATACGGTGAATGCAATGCTCGTGCTATTACATGACTAACTGGAATTTGTTATGGAAGCTAAAGGTACCCGTATAAAATGCAATCCGTGTAAGAACTTCAACCAACTGCTTTAACAAAATTCCAATATTTTTCTAAATGTGTTCTTTTGCAAATG